GTGCAGACCTTACCTTCGCATAATTAATTGCTTCTGTATGCAAAATGATCAAAGAAGTTATATTGTAGTTTTTCATGTCCTTTGAAGTCTCCAATTACGTGGTTTTTTTAGCTATTAAGGAATCTTAAAATTATAGCACAAATACAGTCAAGCATATTCGGTATCCTGTAATTGGAAACAGTATCCTTATCATTTAGGGCTAACCGGAGACATAGCTTTGACATTGAAGGCCTAGTAAAAACGTATCTAGCCTCAGTAAGATAGATGGCACACTTATACGATCAGTTTCAATTACTAGGCCTCTACACTAACTGACAGAGTGACAAGATATATCCTTAGTAAGTATGCAGTGGTTTAACGAAAAGTGTACGTGACCATTCGGAGCAATTGCAGAAATCGGAGCTTGATTATTGCATCAACACTGAACTAGATGCATTGCAATTAGTAAGATAGGAAACTTTCCAGTGATAGTTGTTGAAATGAATTAATTAGCTCTAGTAAATGCATCGATGAGTTCAGAATCTCCGTCATTGTAATGGAAGTAAATTGGGCGTCATAGAAGCGGCGCCACCTGATTACAAATTATTTAAATTTGGGGGAAAGACGCCAAAGCTATATAATTTGTGTTTCAATCTTTTAACAATGAGTAATCGTATATCTCAGTAAACAATCTGAATTAGAGAATATAACCTTAAAAGAGTTAAAGACCTTATCATTGTCTGTCTAATATCTATACTATAGAGAAAAATTTCACGGCAATAATTTGGCAAGTAATTTACCAATTCTTTTGTTATAAGTAGTAATCAATTTTAGCATATCCGCGTCGTGATTATATTCGAAACAATATCTACTCGAACTATCGTATTGACAATTGTTATATTAACTTATAGATGCATTAATTTTAATGATTCATTAAACATAATCCATTCTCAAACGTTAACCTAGTGGAAAGAGCAACGGTAAATATTTACGAAATGAGACTGTTTACTGCGGACAACTTGTTGGTTTCAAACACATAGATTAATATATAGTCCATGTAATTTCATACAAACGGTAAATATTTATCTGATATATCTTATTCATCAACAACACACTTATTAAGTAATTAATGGGTTGATTGACGGCATAATCAAACAATAAAAAATAAATATAATATTCACGTAATTACAAATGAAGGTCCCATCAATTAGCAATGCTAAATTTTTCTTTAGTAATTTACCAACTCTACTTCATCAATTTCAATCTTACTGCTTCACATCAGCAAGGAAATAAGAATAACATTTCCTGATCTCCCAAAATGTATGAATATTCACTTCTGCTAGTCCCTATAAATATTACCGACCGCTTTTCTGGTTTCACTAGCATGGCAATAATATACTGTATAATTTCTATAGAAGGACATCATTAAAGCTCAGTTATTTTTTATCATTTTCAATAACTTAGCTAAAAAATGATGTAAGTTCCATTATATGTAAATACTGAGTGTCAAAGGCATATTCTCCAATATGAGATACGTTTGCAAAAGGGCAATAATAAATGGTCTAGTGATAAAATCAAGTAATTTAACTATACAATTTACTCAGATGCAACTGATTAGGTCCTTACTTTAGAGGATATTCATCTTCAATTTTAAAAAGGTTATCACCACTAATTACGATTGCATCAATACGAAATCGACGATAATTAACGAATATTTAAACTTAAATTGATACATTTGGAATCTTTCATTCTTTACTTATTCAATAAGTTACTCAGATACTAATGCATCACTTCAACAAGAAAAATTTCTATTAAATAGACATTCTGTACTTCATATTGACCCCATGAAGATCTTCAGAGGTAAAGTGATTATCCGTTCTAATACATATAATCCTTATATGACAACACATAACAGCTAAACATATTGATAACAAAAATGTCACTGCTAGTATCTCAACTACGTTATTAGTGATGCATAACTAATTTTTAACAGCGATGATATTAGTGATTTATTTTAAGCTATTATAGGGCCAAGAGTAGTAATAGTACTCCAATTAATAAGTTTAAAACCTGGAATAACTTTTCATTTGAAGTTTAGAAAGAAATATTCCATAAGCTTAAGGTATATTTCTCACTTTAGTAACTCTTTTTTCCATCTAAAGACCCGTTATGTGTGCACAATTACGTATGTAAAAGTAATTCATTGACGAACTAAATAAGATATTATCAATGTCAATAAATCCGTTAAAAGAAGCATTATCATAAAATACAGTACAATAATATTCATTCTTAATCTAGTGATCGCAGTCTCTTAGCCACGGTGGCAAACAAATTTTATTTACTATAATTAAGATTATAAACTCGATTAATTATTGCACCGTCATGCACAATTTACCAATCGTAATACAAACGGATAAAATAACAACACTTATTTACGCCAATATACATATTTTCGCCATCAGCAATAGCAACAGTGATAGTAAGTAATATTTACGGGGTAATGAATAATTCTATCGATATTGAATTTTCAATATTACAAAAGTAGAATTGGGATAACATACAATTACTGCATTTAAAATTCAATTATCAGAGTATATTGGCGTCATCAGTACTATGACTAGTTATAACTAATAGAATTCAATTAAGATCAAAGCATGCATCTACAGCTTTATATACTTATATTTATAATCGAATTAGACTACATTGCTATGTCATAGTGATAAATTTACTTCATACTTTGATTATGTAGGTCTCATCGCTTGCCCTACACCATTTTCTGAACACATAGGTATAACAGCCGGACGGTGACCACCTACGATTTGAAAGAGCATTTCGTTTTAAGACATAGCTACTTTAACTAAGCACTGTATTTGGTATTATTCATCTAAATCAATTCCAATGCTAACATGGTATGATAGAAATATATCTCAAATTATCAGTTCAAAATATCTAAGCCTGAGTCATGCGAGATAGGACTCTGCATAAGCTTTGTCAATTGTATAAAATAAAAATTCGATCTTAGTCTTAATATCAATTTTGTTGCTTATATACTTTAACACTATGATCTATCTGTTTATATAGTTGAATGGGATATGAAAGCTAGTCTGCTTGTAATAAAACTGTACCCTGTTTTATACTATTTGGCGTAAGCTTTGTATTGGAATTTGGCTAACTTTGAAGATAAAGCATACCGGAGGTTAAGCCGCGCACCGAAGTTACCTAATGAACCAGTTAAAATAAAAAGTACTTTATTTACTCTCGTACCGTAGATCCAGTCGTAATAAGAAATATAAAAATCGCATTTACTGACATATTGATCAATTCGATTACTCAAAGATTAAAAAATATAGATTGCGCTACACAATTTCCTTATTTTCTCTACCAAATCAAGCCTGCTAATTAAATTATTAATCTGATATCTTAGTTACTAACTGTTTCGAATAATTAACCACTGATAAACCATCTCCTTTTAAGAGCACTTTATATCAACATCAACACCTTTACGGCGCCAGTTAGTTAACATGACCCCGTAATTATTAAAACAATATTTGTAAAAATTCTTTAGTAATACTTAAGCTAAGAAACTAAATGAAAGGGTTATATAAATGATAGGGCAAGCATAGGCGCTAAAAACATGTTATTGATGAATAAAGTGAGTAAGTTAGTATGTCCAATGTAATTAATGTTCATTATTAGGAAATTAGAAATAGTATATGACGGGATACTTCTGATAAATATTTAATGTCCAAGGAGAATACTATTGGACAAATTAATGTACATACAAGTAATCAAAAACAAATGTATCAATTTTTACATAGCTTTTGAATCCAACTAGGTGAATCTACAACGCAAAAATTGAATTACAACGCGCGTCATAAATATAATAGACCAGTGATAACATGAACATTGCTTGCATGATTTAGTAATGGGTATTTAATCCAGCGTATAATAATCTACAAACAATAGTCTTACTAAGGAGAAAATTGAGATCGATAACAAAATGAATGGTATAGCAAGTTCGCTTGTGATTAGTAATTCTTTTAGCTATCACTTTCAGCTGCGAAACTAGCAAAATAATGTACTGTATCTCAATGAATTACTTCCTATTTGTATGACCAGCAAACGAATTCATCGATCCATGAAGAATATGTACAAGAACATGGGTACTTTTTATTTTATTTTCGGTCAATTCCAGGTTATTAAGACAGTCATTGATAGACAATAATTATGTGGGCTAAAAATGCGTAGTCTTATTATGAATCAATTGTATTATATTGAAAAAATTCATTGCTAATTTATGATTCAGACTTTACGTCTACGTTCATACCATATAGTCCTTATTTTTAAATTAATTATTCATATGATGACGATCAAAATATGCAGAATATAATTTTGTTAACCATTTTAGGAATTAGCATTCAGAGACATTTATATCTGTATTTATTAAATCCTCAAATGAGTCCATTGTATCTTAATTATCCTAACTATAGGTCAGTAAGCAATAGAGCTAAAAACAGAAATTCCTTATAATGAGTCATACCACCTCCAAATTCAATAAATAACTTCGTTTATTTCTACCTATGCTCATATAAAGAAGTAAGTAAATTGATTACTAGATAGAGAGAAGAGTTAATTTATTCCTCTTAAATTCAATTCGTTGATTAAGACGTTGAGTTAAATTGCCTTTCAATTTATCAAAACCAAAAGAAAATATATTCTTTATAAGAAACTACCGCCATGAATGCTCCCGTCGTTAATACATCTAACACAACAAATAATGTATGGTACTACTTTTCTAGAACATTTTATTCTTCATCAGTATTGGCGATTGGTACCACTATTGGATTTACTGGTTTACTAACAAATTCAATCTTGCTTGTTACAATCTTGATGGTTAGAAAATTAAGAAAGTCAAGTAGAACCCTTACAAGCTTATCTTTATGTGGCATCCTGTTTGCAGCTGTTTTTATTTTACCTATACATCTATTACCACCACAACAATCTATGGCATACCTCGTTAACTACGACTTACTAGGTGCACGCTGTGGTGTATTGCTATTAATAAATATCAATTTACACCAGTGTGTACTAGGAATAGAACGATGGTTGGCTGTGGCCTCGCCATTACGCTATCGCAGATATAGAAAGAGCAAATTAGTGAATTTTACTTGCATACTCTTATGGGTTACTTCTTTAATATTAACACATTTACCACTAGCCTTTCGTTGCATTATGACCACAACTGCTTCTATTTCAGCCTTAGCTGCATCTAATGAATTGCGAGTAAAAGCTAGACGAATTGAAAAAATAAGCTTTCAAGTTATTCTATCAAGCACTTACCTAATGCTTTTAATTATTATGGTCTCGTCTTATTGCTCTACTCTAGCCAGTGTCAACTCTTCTCGCAGGAAAAACTTGTTCGTATGTTCTAAACCGAAACCGAAACATATGTCTTCCGCTAAAGCTATCCGTCAAATGACTATTGTAACTGGCACTTTTTTAATACTTTGTTCGCCTGCATTAACTATTATTATGTCTCCAATGCTAGGTAGTACCCATATTTCAAATTATACTTTCACTGTTATTTCATTTTACTTCCTGGTTTCTTATCCCTCTGCCTACCCTATTTTGTATTGTTATTACGGTAGAAATATTAAGAAAGAACTTCAAACAGCGGCAATGACCCGTAGCATTCGATCATTTAACGATAGTAAAATTCGCGATAGAACAACATCCTAAATTTCAATTAAAATATGTACTGAAACGAATTACATAATATAAGACAAAACATGTAAATCTCATCCATGATTAACATTGTTTATCATTGTTGATGTCTTGTATATAGATAATCCAATATTTTTTGTATATCAAACTGCAAATAAAAAAATCAATTACAAAACCATTTTAATTTTTCTGCTTCAGTAATTGAACTTAATGCCAAAATATTTGAATATAATTATATTTCTAAACAAAGTTTCAACAACCATTCAGCAAAAACTCATTGCGCTTCCAGTTATACCTAATGCAAATACTAGATTAGATACACGCATGCAAAGATAGTATTAGTTTAATTTTTACATTACAAATACAGCATGATATTGCTGATTTTCTAAAGTACTTTAATACGTTAAATGCATAAATTTATGTAAATTACTACAATGAGTGTACATACCCTGTACGAAAGATAGCTGACTGACAGCGTCGATTATCAAGATCGCATTTTAATATGTCGGTATTGTTGTATCGAAAGCATCATATCAAGAATGACTCAATTTATCAAAGCAAGCTACATTTAATCTTTAAGACCATAAGATTAGATAATATATATGTAATGTATATAAATTAGTTGTAATAATATTATCTGCATCCTAAAATTGTTATTTAAGCAATAGACAGCTATAACCTGCTAAAATCATTTTACTGTGAATTACTAGTAAGTCAAATGCATCGATCACAACACCGTTCTATCATCATATCAAGCTAATTAATAAATTTACCTGGATTACAGAGCATACAACTTAATACGTAAACATGAACGATATAATATAAATAGCAATTGAATTCCTTGTGAAGAAAAAACATATTTACAACTATTAGGCTTTCAGACTTACCGGCATATTAGTGATAACAAGGATATATTTCGACGTAATCCCTGTCTCACAATGATTTTAGTCCAATTTTATCTTCATTTAAATTATGATTGTCTTCTACTAATACCGAATTATCACATAACAAATTAATTAATTAATCTAGATTGTATCTATGTTTAGCTATTAGTCAATACAAGATGAATTTTATTACAGTAGCGGTATACATTAGCAATTTAATTCTTTAATAAAATCGGAAACGAAGATCAATACCTTGCCAATAAAGCGATCTTTCATTCTATTCAGCAGGCTTGAATTTAATTAAAGAACCTTTATTTCTATTTATTTACTTGTGTTATTTAAATTAATGTAACTTAGCATGTAGTTATTTCACTGAGTAGCCGTACCATTTTAAAACTACTGAAACTGTTGATAATTTTAAACATTATCTTTATCATGGAAAGAAATAAATAAACAGACGACGCCTATATTAAATTCTGGTAACAGTCTTTAAAACATACCGATATTGCCTATTCGTTTGTGCTTTGTACAAGCCTTTCAATTTATAAACAAGTCTTAAAACAGCTTTGCAACAAGATAACGTAATGTACGATCAATAAGTCAATTCCTTGAACCACGCATCTAGGAACGATATCTGCACTATCACAAACACTTTTGCTCTACTAGTAGACTACACAAAGACTTAGACGCTTCGTATTTTACGTTAAACTCTAACTTTATGAATCCACTTTATTACACGATATACTGCATTTATATACTATTCCTCAATAGTTTATGAGCATAGTTAATACAATTAACATTAGAATCATTTACTGAATTAGATATTAATTTTAGCTACTGCTCCCTTAATGCAGACAACAGCATTTACGAACATAGACATCTGATGACTAATACAGAATAGTCAGATTACGATATGTCCTATCACGGAACATTTCTACGATAATTTACAATTTATCATAACTAAGTTACAATCACAATGAGTCGAACTGTAAGTAGATGATTTGCATTCCCTATTATAACTATTAATTCAGTATGTGTACATGTGTCATTATCATAAAAAGTCAGTGCTACATTAAAACACAGTATATCCAAATTAGAAGTTAACTAATTAAGGATAGTCTAACAGAATTATCCTAACATAGATATTTCTACTCTAATGCAGTATACAACACTGTCACAGAACATAATATACAAATATCACCAGCTGGAAAAAAACCGTTGCTAAGCATATTGAGGTAGTAGCTTTTGGAATAAATAATTTTTAACAGCTTTCAATTTTAAAGGTCTAGGAAGTAGCGTAGCTCCAAGCTATTACATCAAACTTCAACTAAGAACAAACCATCATATAAGCCTAAAGCATTCCGTAAATCATTTACAAAAGTAGCTTTAACAAATTAGACTATAAAGTAAAATAATTTTTGCAAGACAGATTATATTTATATATATTTATTTAATCCTTACAATATCAAATCGCTAAGTAAATCTGTTATTACAAAAGCCCTCTTAAAACTCAAACTGTTGCTCCTTTCATAAAATCAACAGCATTCAATATGACATTTTACTATGTTTAATAGGCTACTGACCAGTATGGTTACGATAGCTCTAGCATTTACTAATTGTAACTACAGGAAAAAAGTGTATAGCCGTAATTTACGAAGTTAATATCAGAAGATCTTCAACTGTAGTGTAGTATGCCGTATTTGTAGAAGCATCATGCTATTAATTCAGCAATAGTTCAGAAATAGAACTTCTAATGAAGATACGCACATACATGCATACATATGACTGTAATCAGAAATACTACATTTATAGAAAACTAGTATCGAAATACTAAATCGCAGTAGACATCATTAAAAAAAAGATAGCCTAAGCTATAGATCAAAGCGTACAAATTTCACCTGCATAATGTATGCATGCGATCAGGTTTCATAGCGGATGATAAATATCGAATGTCATTTACACGTTTGCTGTCGTTGAATATTTTAGCATTTTAGAAAGCTGAATAGCTTTACATTATTTATGCATTGCTACACAATTAACACTAGGCCAAATAAGTAGACATTAGCGCACTTAGAATTTCTTATAGCAATTTTAATGAGATATAAACCTCAAAACGCTCTTTAGCATTTAAGGCAACAGTATTGCAAACTGGGATGTTATCGAACATCAATTTATATAATTTTTAAAGCTCTATGAACTTATTCGTAATTTTCAAAGTCAATATAACACATGCAAGCACCACAGAAATTGTAGGATCATACCAGATACTGTAAATAAAATTACGCCATGAGGATATGTAATCGTTTACGATTTTTCACCAGTAATGGTATCCTGCGATTTTATCATCTATGAAAACCGTAAGAATTTCGGAACCGAATTTAATCTATTATTTTTCTTTTCTAACCAAGGCTTTGAAAGTCAAGATTACAAGTAAAACAATTGGTCCCTCTGAAAATATGCGTAATAATTGCTAAAACATGGAATTGCACATACTTAGAAGCCAAGTAATCTACAATTCCGGAATTAATAATGTTGAAGACAGTCTACTACTCAAATTAAACTGCTACAGTTTATTTGTAGAGCATAACTCCTCACATTTATACCAAAAGTTAGCATTTATGTCTGTTAAAAAACGGCTTTGCAACAAGATAACGTAATGCACGATCAGTCGAATCCCTGAACCACGTATCAGTGAGCAGTATCTACTCTTTCAGGAACTCTTTTCCTATACTAGTAGACCACAAAAAGACTTAGACGCCTCATACCTTACAATAAACGCTGATCATAAGAACTAACTTTATTATACGATTTATCGCATTTACATACTCTTTTACAATAGCAAAGACATCCTAGTCAGTAATATTAACGTTGAAACCAGATAATGAATCAAAAGCTAATTTTGTCTACTGCTACCTAATGAATACAACAGTATTTACGAACATAGACATCGAATTACTAATACAGAATTGTCAGATTACAATATGTCCTATCACGGAACATTTCTACGATAATCTACAATCTACCATAAGTAAATTACAATCACAGTGATTTGAATTGTAAGAAGATAATTCTCAATTCCCTAATTAAACTACTAATTTCAGTAGGCTGTATATATCACCATAAAAGCTAGTGCTATATATAAATATCACATATCTACATTAGAAACTCTTCATAAAAGGGTATATCAACAAAATTATCCTAACATAGATGTTTCTACTATAATTTCGATATTACAGTGTGTATAGCACTGTAACAACGTCTTCTACAATTGATAGAAGCAATCGGTTACAGAAATTTTATAATTTGGAAGCATAAAACATCCTACGGGTATGTTGTTTATCAATCAGATACAACTGAATAAACTCCACAGATGTCAAATACTTAGTAACACACACTTTAGCATAAATACTAACGTTTAAGTGTAAATTTCGTACCTAAAGATAGCTCTTGAGCTAGGCTATATAAGAATCTGTATTTTAAAAGTACTATTTAGCTTGATTGCGTGTGATATACTGTTCCCTACGTATCTCAGTGTTGTTTTTATTGATAGTGCCGCAATTAGATTTAAGATTGCATTTAAATATAATATTTCCCTAGCCTATTGAAGTTCATTTATAGTCTGCTTTAAACCAGACATCGAAACTCTGGAGTGCTCTAGAGCTGTTTTATGAACATCTATTACCTGATTTCAAGTTTAAGCTAGTTTTTTATAGGCGAAGAAACATTGCAGTCAAGCTATCTAGAAGTTATTAGCAAAGATATCCATCAAGAATGTAACAGCGTCGACTTTACTAAGCCTGAATACTTGAAAATTAATTCACCGATACTTGAGAGAAGATAATTCCGTTTTAAATATCTGTATTAAGCAATACTTTAATGCCCTTAAATATATAAAATTTCATTACTCTCTCTTATCGCAAAATAGCCCTTATAAAGTCGTATAAATGCATTGCCTTCTGGTTGGTTTCAGTAATCTACTGTAGTTTGATCATTTGATGATCTTAATGCATACTACATAAATTATACGCTGAGACTAGATTTAATGGAGATTCAATTTGTAATGTATCGCATAAGCTGTTGCCTTTAATTGAATAATGAGCTCAAACTCAGACTTAGATTTACGTGGTTTCCAACAAATGTAAAACTGTAATAAAAGAGATATCCGATACACATTTTAGAAATAAAGCTCTAGCTGTCATACACTATGGGAGATATTGAGCTTCATATAAAATTAAAGTAGACTTGAGCCGTCTATTGAAAAAATTTTTATACTCGTTCTATCAATACGTTTAGAATAGCAATTGGAATGCGTTAGTTTAAGTGGATACTAACTTTTTATATAATTATTTATTTACGAAATAGGTCGTAATATTCTCACGACGAAAGATTGGTGTTCTATGGCTAATGAAGCATCGTTTATAAAATGAAAGGAATCATGGCAATACAAGATTGTTACACTTTGTTGTCTATCGTAACAATAATTTAATAGTCCAGTAGGGCTTGAGTACTGAACAATCACGAGTCCAATATAGCTTAAGTACCGAACTAACTTTATTATGCGTTAGGAGCCGTTATGTATAAGAGACAATTACCAGTAATGTGCAATAACGGACATACCATGAATGTTAACGACAATCTTATCTTATTCATAATAAGATAACAACTTATTTTCTTAGATATGCTATCTAGGACTTAATCGTCATCATTACAGAACAACTGCAGAAATATACTGAATAAACAGGCTTATTCAATATGATAGATCTTATCGATACTATGTCTACAACGACTGTATTATTTCGTAACAAAGATGCAGCGCAATAGAAAAGTTTCTTAGCTTAAAAATTATCCAGTAACAAAACACCAATCAAAACTTTCAGTTCCGTTCTCAGCGTTTAAATATTGATCGCACATTTATGTATTATTAATCGCTGCATTAAATTTTCTTTCATAGTTATCAAGATAAAATGCAATTAATGGCATGATAGTATCCAGCAAGGCGATTTACTACG